GCTGTGCTGGGCTGAGCTGAGATGGGCTGGGTTGGGCTGAGCTGGGCTGGGCTGAGCTGGGCTGAGCTGGGCTGGGCTGGGCTGAAATAGGCTGAGCTGGGCTGAGCTGGGCTGAGCTGAGCTGAAAGAGGCTGGGCTGGGCTGAACTGAAATAGGCTGGGCTGGGTTGGGCTGAGCTGGGCTGGGCTGGGCTGAAATATGCTGGGCTGAGCTGGGCTGGGCTGGGGACATGGAGTGGGTGGATGTGCCACTTTGTGGCATCTGATGGCTGTTTCTGGACCGCTTTTGGGTCCATAGGATCGAGAGCTGACATATTCCAACCGCCTTTGGCTTGTGCAAAGTGTTTGCTGGGTCTCGGTGCAGCTCCTAGCAGGGAGGCGTTGAGACCGCAGGCCCTGCCGTGGTCCGTACCGTTGGCTACCGACCTGTTCTTCTCCTAGGCTGAGGGCTCAGCGGGCCGTGAAGGCTAACCGTGCTCTCAGGGTTTGAGGCGGTTCTTTCGAGTTGAGTTTGATGTATACAAAAGGACGGTCTGAGAGGTTTGTCTAGTTACCATTTATGTGTTTTCTACCAGCTCCTCTTGGCTCCAAAGCTCTGTTCAAGAGAAGTGTGTTATGAAGCTTCATTAAACTCCTGTACCCAGTTTCTACAGGTAGAAAACTGGACTTGCAGTTTGATCTTATTTCCATAATAAAAAACACCCCAGAAGCTGGCAGGCTTTAGTACTGAATCTTGAGTTTTGAAGCTGCACGCTTAGGGATGCTTGTTTTGAGAACTTGGGTAATTTAGAGATTTGAGAAGTTGATACCCTGAATTTTGGTTTAGCAGTTTGCACCGGAGCTGTCACTAGATAGGTGGGTCTAACGTGCTGCTAACACAAACGCTCTTGAAGCTCGCTAAGATCGGAATAGAAGCATATGTCATACGGGAACAAAAAAAGGGACCAGCTGAGGCAACCAGCAGTTGTTGGTTTAGATCATAAATCAAACGTCTCGATGTTATTCCCTGCCCCTGAAGTTTTTCTTTTCCCGAGCTCTCATCGGTGTGTTGCAGCGTGGCTTTCTAAGCTTTTCAAGCTGTAGCAGCCAAGGGAAAAACCTGCTTGGAAGAAGTAAAATTTGCCGTTCGGTGTGTTACTGAAACTGATTCCTGAGAGCAACATAACAAAAGATCAGTCTTATTGCTCAGGCTTCTGAAGCATTAAAGCTTTCCATCACATCCGGAGGTAACGACAGTCTGGAGAGGATACAGTTGGTTGGAGCCGGTGGAGAAAATCCAGCGGGACTCGGGTGCCGTCCGTGCCGAGACACGGGACAGTCCCCGGCTTCCCCTGGGGAAGCAAGCGCCACGCTCCTAACGCAGCTGTGGCTGTACCGGAGCTGCTAACGCTGAAGTCTACGGGAAGAAAATGTGTGTAATAATATCAATACCGGGCTTCAGGTCCCTCCACCAAGCGTTCCCCTGCTATTTTTTTCCGTCTTCATACTGTGCGAGGGAAACACGCCAGCACTGTCCTTTTTCCTGGAGGATCCTGGCAGGCTGTGTGGAGCATGGGCCCTGAAAGAGGGGCTGCTGCTCTCCCTCTCCCCAGGGAGGGAACCTTGGGGCTGGGGAGTTGGAGCTGTTGGGGTTCCAGGTGTTTACAAACTGCAAAAGTCCTCCAAAGATGACAGAAATAATTCTGACTTTGCTACAAATGCAAAAAGGAAGAAAATACAACCGGCTTTTAAAGTTTGTTTGCACTATGCAAATACACACTGCGTGGTTTTTATATATCGGCATTTACAAAACGATACCGGTTCCTCTCTGGCTCGGCTTTGCTGCCATCCCACCTCGCTGCCTTGCGCTCGCGAGCATTTGGTGGTGATAACAGAAATAAATTAAGCAACGGACTTGTGTTCGGCTTGGCTTTTGCCAAAAGCAATTATTTGTCTGCAGCAGCACCAGGAGGAACTTGCTTCACTTGGGGTAACAACGAATGAATTTATGCCAAAGCGGCCTTTTAATGTCATTATTCAGGAAAAAAAAAGTGCGCGGGTAGCTGTAATGTATTAGTGCTGTTACGCACGTCGGTATTAGGGCAGCAGTGTCCCCGCGAGGAAGCACGGCCAGAAGAGCCTCAGAGAACGCGTTTTATCTCTGCTTAGGGACAAACAGTCAGGAGAGGAGCTCACAAAAGGAAGAGTTCCTGCAGAATATATGGCAATGGCTTCCTTGGAGTCAGTGCATTTATTCTGGCGTGACGGAAAACAGCCGTGACCCATGTTGCTTAAATTGGGTTCGCTAGAACGTGCAGGAGCTGCTGGGGTGTGAGCCTTCCTTCGTTCCCGTTTTATACCAATTCTCAGATGTGTGAGGCGAATCGGGCCCCATACCCTTTCCCCAGAGGGCCGAGTTAGCCACGTTTCAGGGTATCCACTGAGGCATTAAAGCGTCTCTGAACTTCTGACCTTCCCAATCTAGCAGCGAAAAGGAATGAAAAGAAGATATTTGATATTTATCTATAATGATCCTTCCACCTCATTTTCAAAAGATAAATATTAGCATTTTAAAATGATC